ATAGGAAGTAAATTCACAGGCATTACCCTTTGTAATATTTTTACTGATATATCCACTTGGACAAGGGAAGCAAAAGAAAAAATAAACATGATGGACTACATCAAACTAAAGAGTTTTTTCACAGCAAAGTAAACCATCAGCAAAACAAAAAGACATCCTACTGAATGGGAGATGATTTTTGCCAATGATATATCTGATAAGGGGTTAATATCCAAAATTTATAAAAACTCATACAACTCAGCACCAAAAAACCCCAAACAACCCAATTAAAAAATGGGCAGAGGACATGAAGAGACATTTCTCTAAAGAGGACATACAGATGGCCAACAGACATATGAAAAAATGTTCAACCTCACTAATCATTAGAGAAATGCAAATAAAAACCACAATGAGATACCACCTCATTCCTGTCAGAATGGCTATCATCAATAAATCAACAAACAACAAATGTTGGCGAGGATGTGGGGAAAAGGGAACCCTGGTGCACTGCTGGTGGGATTGCAGATTGGTGCAGCCACTATGGAAATCAGTATGGAGGTATCTCAAAAAACTGGAAATGGATGGAACTACCTTATGACCCAGCAATTCCACTCCTGGGTATCTATCCAAAGAAATCCAAAACACTAATTTGAAAAAATATATGCACCCCTATGTTTATTAAACCATTATTCACAAAAGCCAAGATATGGAAACAACCAAAATGCCCACTGATAGATGATTAGATAAAGAAACTGTGGTACATTTACACAATGGAGTATTACATGGCCATAAAGAAGAATGAAATCTTACCATTTGCAACAACATGAATGAACCTAGAGAATATTATGCTCAGTGAAATAAGTCAGAGTGAGAAAGACAAATACTATATGATATCACTTACATGTGGAATCTAAAGAATAAAATAAACGAGCAAACAAAACAGAAATGGACTCCGAGATCTAGAGAAAAAAACTGATGGTTACTACATGGGAGAGGGGTGGAGATGAGGGAGGTGAAGGGATTAGAAAGCACCTATTAGTGGTCACAATATAGTCATGAGTATATGAAATACAGTATGGGGAATATAATCAATAATGTTGTAAAAATTATGTAGGGAACCAGATGGGTACCGGACTTAACAGCGATACCACTTCATGGACTGTGTGGATGCCTCACCACTGTGCTATACACCTGAGGCTGAAGTAGAATAGTATTGACTGTCAACTAGAATTAAATATCATGGGATGTAAAGTAAAGCGTAGGGAATATAGTCAATGTTATTGTAACAGCTATATATGATGTCAGAGGAGTAGTAGATTGGGGGGTTATCACTTTGTGAGGGGTGTAAATGTCTGTTACATTGCTTTGTACATCTGAAACTAATAGAATGAATGAATGAATGAACGAACGAATGAATGAATGAATGAATAAATAAATAAATAAATAAATAAATTTCCATCCACCATCCACAACAGCAATGTCTACACCCACAGTAGACACTACCTTTGATTGGGCACTGGCTATGGTTTTAGTACCAGGCCCTTTACATCCCTTATCTCACTTACTCAATGAGCTAGGTACTGTTATTCACTAGTATGGGATTGTTTTTAGAGATCAAAGTTCTTTGAATTGTTATTGGCTTTGAGCAGTGCTGATCAGCCCATTGTATTCCTCCGAAAGTTGTTCCTGGAAATAGACCTCAGCATCTTCTTAATAAAGGGAGTTTAGTAGTTACTATTTAGAGTTTAGTGGGATACTATGTTCCTGGATGATAAATTGCATTTTGATACTTAATGTCAATACTTTGGGCTTTTCTTTCTTTTTTAAATTATTTTTTATTATGAAATACACATTTTTTAGAATTAGTTACAGCTGTACAACACAGTGCAATAGTTATACTTTTTACCCCTCAAAGTGACAATCCCCCTCCCCAATCTGCTGCCTCACTCCGCCCCCCCACCAATATCATACATATCTATTACAATTCCCTTGACTCCACTCCCACACTATACTCCACGTCCCATGACTATATATATA